ATAAAACACACGAGAAAACAGAAAAAAAGCCCCCCAAAAAAAAAAAAAAAAAAAAAAAAAAAAAGCTAGGTAGATCCCTGTTCACATTTCCCAAGTTCTATATCCCACCTTTCCTTACATAACCTTCAAATCACAGAGGCCGCGTATTCTAGAGATGATTTGCCATGTTCATTACCGCTAAACCCAAAGAAATATTTAAGTATTAGATTGCTGAACTAAGATTTACTGCTGCTTTTTGCTCGTAAAACGGCGTTCTGCAGCGCAAACGTCGATACCCATCTTTAAACACCCCCCCATGCTCCCTTTTTCTGTATAAAATGCTAAGAATGGTTTTCACAAAGCAAAGGGTGACACCACAAAAGCAACACAAATCAAGGTCATGACTCAGGGGAAGACAACTGCTTCCACACAAGACCCGTGTGGAGTAAAAAGCGGCAGCCGAGCTGGGAGAAAAATGTGCATTGTCCTACAGGAAAAAGGAAAGAGCTCTAAACAAGAAGCGCACACAAAAGAGGGTTTGGGTGTTCAAAGTTTGTCTGCTCTCCTCCGGCACTGCCAGGTGACTAAATGGAAAAACATTTTCAGTTTTACCCAAAAAGGCAAGGGCTGTCACAGCCACAGCACCACCACATTTTTCTAACGTTCAGCTCCTTAGTATCTGAGCAAATGCACTTGTCCTTGTGTAGAACCTTTCAGGTGGACAAACTTTCCCGCAAAAGCTCCCTCAGCAACATCTGGATGCCACTGTTGCCGAGGCTTCACTCTGCCGAAACGCAGGGTCACACCACCCGCAGGGTGGGTGGGGATCTGGAATCGTCGCCTCCGTTCACAGCATGGGGGCAGCGTTCCCAGCTCCCACAGACAAAACCCGTCCTCCTCAGAGAGACCCCAAACCTGGCACTGCAAACAAAGGTGCCTCTTCCTTTGACTCCCAAGACCCCGTCGAGAACACCACAGAGCACGTCTGCCCTCGCAAACACCCCAGAATCACTAAACCAACAGAAAACTCATTGTTAGACGTGACACGCTGCACGCCTTTCCCATAGTCGGGTTATGGCTGAATTATTCCCTGTCAAGGATTTAATTTTTGGATGATGAAATCTTTAGGGCACAAAAGACACTGTTTTGGGAGGCAGCCCTTGCACGCATGGTTATTCCCAACTCCCTGCTCGCATCAGCTGCCACTTTGGAGGCAGAGGTGAAGGGAAACGCACAGTCACAGAGAAAAAAAAAAAAAAAAAAAAGAGTAAATACAAGTTTACTTAAGTGTAAACATAACATGTACTTGCAACATGAGCCATACCTGGAAAAAACCCACCATACTTTTGTTAAATCCATGTACCGAGTCCTACAAAACCAAGCGGGGGAGTAAGCAGCAAATTTCAGAATAAAGCAGGTATCGGAACAGCACTTCATTTTTTTTTTCATTTTCTTAAAAGCGACCAAAACCCCAACACGTGCAACCTGTGCACATTCAAGCAGAAGCACACACAGTATTTAACAATACTTAAATGAAAATATTTTAAAGGGAAGACATAAGACTCAAAAAACAAACTCTCAGGTCCATAAGCAAGTCTGCTTTTTCTTTTTTGAGACTAGAAAACATACAGTTCCGTTTCATACGCAGGTGTGCACAGAGCTTGTTTCTTGAAGATACTATCAGATAAACCGCAAAAAGTCTTTGCATTAAATTGTTATTTCTCGAATATTTACACATTTTGCAATACACCGGTTAAATAGCAAGATCTATGTGCATGCACTATCAATATATGCATGTACACGTTAAAATGTTTTAACAAAGACAGTAGATTCCCTGTGCCAGTGAGCATCGGAGAGATACCAAAAATATATATAAAAAAGTTAAAACTCCTGACCTGCCTGTGTTAAATACAGACTTTTGAAACCACCTCCTTTCTTTTCCCCACAAATTCACAGCACGCCCCCCGGCAAGCGGGAAGGTCAGATTATCCCGGAACCACAGACAAGCACCTTAAAAAGTTCCACCCTTCGAAACGTCTTTTCCATCCTTACGAGATGCACAAGCTAAGAAAGGGAAGGACGTTTTAAAATCAAGTTTTATTTCATGTTGCTCTACTCCCCAAACATACATCTCCAACAGAAAAGCCTCCAGCAAATGCGACGCTTCCACAGCACTGACGACATCTGGAAACACCCGACTGCTGCCCACCGAAAACCTGGGGCCTCCCAAAGGTACCGGCGCACGCCGCTGGGCTGGGCCAGCCGGTGCTACGGTATGGAAAGAAAATCACGTAGTGTTCTGACGCTTCTCTAACTCACCTGGGGAGTTCCCTTTTCAAGAAGTACTGCCCGTGGACTCTGGTGGGAACATCATCTCGGGGTCACCTACAGCTTTTGGAGTAGTGTTGTCTGGTTTGTTCCCCATCCGCTGCATACAGAGAGATACACACGGCTCACGCTTGCAAAGAAGAGCGTTGCCTTCCTCTAAAAAGCACTTCATACAGCGCAAGACTTGCTTTGTAAGATGCCAGGGGGACTTCCCAACATACTTTTGTGCCTCTTTGGTTAAGAAAGGAAAAAAAAATTAAAAAAAAAGATAACATATTTCCCTTTATGACAGTTAAAGGTACTTCTACCAGACTTGAATAAGAAATGAAAGGTACTGCAGGAAAAGAAAAGCAGTACCGCAGGAGAGCACGACACGCACTTTCCAGAATCACCTAAATCCAATGATGACTCCAGTAAGGGAAGAAAATCCATTTCATTTTCAACTCTTTGGCAAATTTTATACTGTTTGCCAACACTGTAATGTGAAGCTCAGTCCACACGACCCAGCCCATTCCGGCCTCCTCCCTACCTGAAAAATCACGTGAGAGATGAGCAACGGTCTTAAGAGAGAGCTTGTTTTATAAAGTCGTGGCGAGCTGACTGCCTCTTCAACGTTACAGCCACATGGGTAACAAAGGAAAAGAAGTTGTGATACGTTGGCCATGTCAAGTACGAGTACTGCTGCCAACATGCTGATTCAGCTTTACACAGTGGTCTGTACAGATTGCAATTATCCTAAAATTGAGGTATAAATATACACAAATATGTACAGTACACATACAGGAAAAATATTTTTGCATTTGTAACATCAGTAACCTTAAAAATACTGGAGAGTTGATACCTATGCCATTGATTTGCTTGCTGATTTACTGGAATAATGAAGCCAACACCTTCGACTAGAGCGGACTACAATGGAATAACAGAACTCAAAATTCAAAGCTCCTTCCTCTCACTTCAGCTTCTCCACGCCCAGGGCCGGGCTGCTCCGAGCGGCTGGATCCTGCAGCGAGGGTCGATCACAGCTTTTAAATGCATCCTTGGAGGAAAAACAAACGGGAAACCAAACAGGAGCTGTCAACTGCCTTTCTTTTTGCTGAATGGTCTTAATTTACATACACATATGTGTGTGTGCATCTACGTAGAAAATAAAGTCGAAATCAGTTCAGTATAAATACATCTAACCCAGTAATTCTGCCACTGTGAAGGTCAATCACGGGTACAGCTCTTTGTAAGCAATGTCTGTGCAAAGAGGTCATTAAAAATCATCTGATCTTAAGTCTTGACATCATCCATTCGAGTCCTTGGCACAACCTGTAAACAAAAGAGATAATTTTTAAGGAATACGTGAACTTCTTGGGATAACTTCAAAGGTAATTCCCTGGCACCGATTTGAATTCTTCCTAAGAACTGTGTAATTCTGACTGAGGGAATCACTTCCAGAAACAATTCACGCCAAGCACAGCACTTCCTACATCTTATTATATGATCTACAGGCAAGAAACTTTAGATCCCAGGACTTCAAGGCACAGAGCAGAATTTTCTCCGATTACAATTACTCTTAATAAACCCAAACAGACTTCAGGTCATTCCCACCCCTGCCCTTATTAGGCCCAAATCATATAAAGTTTTATCACTGTGAGGCGAAGACGATTTGATATGAAAGCTGGTTTTCAGATCAGCTGATCCTAAGTCAGTACATTCCGAGCCCAGAAATCTTTATGTGTAAGCTTATTGTTGAAAATGTGTGCTAAAATCGCAATAAAAATACCAAAATAACTCAAGATCTCCCGCTTACGGACAAGAACAACTCTTACCCCTCTCCAGTTAGAGCACAGCACGCCTGAATGTGCCACTGATGATCCTTAATTGAAGTCAGTTTCAGAAACTGAGAGATTTCCGCTACTGTCATACACTCTTTAACATCTTGCTTGTTAGCAAAGATCAGCAAACCTGCTTTTTTTAAGTCCTTCGGAGAAAGAAAAAGAAAAGACAATTACAAGTCAGACCTCAGAGGCAAAAGATGTGATACCGAAGCACAAAACCTTAAGCCCTAGCAAAAAAAAAACAAATTAAACTACAAAATGCTGCAGGCCAGCTGACACATAACTTCAGAAAATCCTTTGATCCAGTGGACCAAATGTCTGATTTTCGCCTGGGATGATCTGCAAAACCACATACGATATTTTGTCGTGCCTCGTGCGGATCTGAGGCACCCTGTATCCTGTTTAACCCTGACCTTGCAGATCATTCCCACCATTGTGGCTAAACCTGCCCTCTCGTGAGCCTGGCTTTTACCTTCACACCGTGCTTTTACGCGTTACCACACTGTTAATGTTTATTTTGGTCCAAAATAAGACTGAGCAGTAGTTCTTATGCAGGGCAAGGGTGGGTGACCCCAGCAGAACTTTTGGGGCCAGCAGCGCACACTGCCACCCTCTGCGAGGGAAATTCCACCCATGAAAAAAATGTTAAGGCTGCCACCAACAGTGTAAAGCAAACTGGGGTCATATTTTATTTAGAGGACACGCAGCATTTGTAGAAAATCGTTGCTGACACCGCTTTAGAATCAAAGGATGGATGTCTACGTGAATAAGCACATTGCAATAAACATTTTTATGAGGCCCATGTAATATTTAAAACATCAGTGCTGGCAATTTAGAGAACAGTGACTCTAGGGACGAGTTTATTTTATCTCAAGCTGCTTGGAATTACACTAGGACAGGCAAGCACTATTGAAAATCCGTCCCTCCGAAAGCAAAAACGTCTTCCCAAGGAAGCCAAGGCAACTCATTCACTTAAATGTCTATCAGGCACACCGATTCTTACAAGCAGTAAAAATAATTCCCAGGTGATCTACTGGTCCCAAAAATAGCTGGAAAGGAGTTGGGTGACTCAATTTTGCCTCAGCTAAAATTCAGCTGAACTGGCTAGCAGAAATAGTCAAGGACTGTACGGGAAAGCTATTCTGAATAAATATTTGACTTTCATTTCAGCTTATATCTATTGCTGTTCTCTTGAAACGTCAAGAGAGCTAGCAGAACGTGCTGAAAACATCCTGTTGTAAAACAATGGGCACGTTTACTCTTAGCTGGGTGCTTTCAGAGCACAGAAATAGTCTCCCAACACGAAGCCAGGGCATTCACACTGCTTGGAGTTCCAGGCTTTCCTCGTCGCAAATTCGTTTCGCTAACAACTTCTGCATCTTCCTTTAGAGATGACGAAAGAGAAGGTGCAGATTTTGTTTAGTGACTGCAAGAGACTGAAGAGCACATCTCAGAAATTCTGACAGCAGAGGACCCAATGGCAAGTCCACCCTGCCACATTTAACACTCCACCACAACTAGGACAGCCAAACCTACTTTATTAGAATTTATTTTATTAAATGGAACTTTAAATGCCAGAAACCAGAAATTCAAGAAACTAGGCAAAGCATTTGTTTTTTTCTCAAATGCTTTAGATGACCACTCAAAGGAGATACATAGGCAGGCTTTGTCCTTACTAAACAGTGGCTCTAGTTTAAATAAAGATGTAGTATTTGGGGATATAACGCCAACAATTTTACACACATTCTTATATTCTGACACTTAAATTGGGAAGCTCAGCGTCCCCAGTGTCATCTCACACAAAACGATCTAGTTTGCACTAAACAGTATAAAAACACGATCATCAGTAAAACTGAGGGCTCTGGTCCTGCTGCACTGCATGGACAGATTAAAATCTTGCGGACATTCAGGTCACACAATAGGTGGCCCCTGGCTTACGCATCTGGTCAGTATTTCCAAGTCAGGACCAGGCAGTTTGGTTTTAGACCTGTCACAGGGCTCAAGTTTTAAAGAGGGTCTTTACAAGTCAGCAAATTATTCCCTTGCTCTGTAATTCCACGGACAGACAGAACGACAGCTACTCCAGCTATCAGCAGTCCGTTTCTACAGTTTTACAGCTGGTTGCAATACAACACATTTTTAAGGCTGTCTCTGTCAGAAAACAAGAAGCAACCACGAAGCTATCGAAAAGAGTCATTAAGTAGTTGGAGGAAACAATGTGTTTTCTAAAAAGATGTCATTCAGCTATTGAAGCATGAAACCACAAAAGTCATTTATAGGCCCTAATTTCTGCTTCACTGAAGGACTCAGAAGCTGAAAAGCTACTTTTGAGGGAGTTCTCTTCAGTAATTTGCTATTAGTTTTTATTGGGAGCTTCATAAAAGGCAGATCCTCTAGCAGGAACAGGACAGCTCCAACAGAGCACTGCCTGTGGCCCGGAGAACGTGACAGCTCACAGTGGCCTCGGGCTGCCCTGGAGAAGCCTCTCTGCCTCCTGGTCCGTGTCCAGCTGGCAGGTCTGGGCAAGAACTTCCACAAACAGCACACGAATCTGCTTCCGGAACGTGTACCATCCAGATCTTACCCACAACCAATATTCAAACACAGAAGACACGGCGTGTACTCACCTCGTGGGCTAACATTTTATACAGCTCTTCTTTAGTCACGGAAATCCTCTCTCTGTCCGTGCTGTCCACGACGACTATCACAAACTTTAAAAAGTGAAAAGTTATTAGTTAGAGAACGAACTATCCCCGTGGCCACACACTTGTCAGCAGAACTGATTTCTGCTCCTAGCACATTATCTCAACTGGATTATGAGGTGTGACCTCATCCCAGGTACTGGGAAAATGCAAACATTTATACTGAAACAAAGTGTTTCTTTGCAATCTCACATCTGGGTGGTTTTTTTTTTTTTTGTTGAGCATACCTGATGTATGCATATGAATCCCTCAAATAATTTGCTCCATCCTTAAAAAGGTAAATTTTATCAGCTTTCTCCCCCTACTTCAAGTACAAAAGTGCAAACAGATATGTGCAAGGGATTTAAACAAAACAAAGTTCCCTATTACAACAGCATACATGTGGATACAAATCACAGCCTTACAGGGAAGCACAGGAAAATAATTATTAGAAAAGAACAACCTTTTTTAAAAAAAACACATAGCAAACCTCAACTTAAATCATTACTGTAATCACATTCAATAACTTCAGTGCTAAAGAGTTCTTAAAATCTTTGGGGGTGCTTAAGTAAATCAGAGGAGCTTGCATGGCTGGGCTCCCAGGCTTTCAGTCTTACTTTTGAGCAGCTGTAGAAGTTTTAGAGCACCTGCTACAGAGACCAAGCACGAGAGGGGACCTGGAAACACAGGGATCTTCAATTTACTGAGACAAACTGAGCACCAGGCACAGAATCCTCTCAAACGAGCTGGTTTTGCCCTCACCTCCGTGTTTGTGTAGTAGGTGTTCCACGACGAGCGGAGAGACTCCTGCCCTCCGATATCCCACATGAGAAAGCGTGTGTTGTTCACCACAATCTCTTCCACGTTGCTCCCGATGGTGGGCGAGGTGTGCACCACTTCGTTCATGGAGCTGCAGAGGGAAGAGAGAGACTTGGTGAGCAACCGCAAAGAAACAGCAAAAATCCGTGGTATCGAGCATCTTAGGACTCCAAACTGGTCGACTTTTTATAAAACTAAAGTCGACGGTTATTCTAAGGTAGAAAGCTTAGCGGGAGTATGACAGCAAACACTCCTTACGCAGCAAAGAGAGGCCGGGTTTGACAGTGGAAGGTGAATAAAAATAAGACTAAATACAGACAGCAATAAAAAAGGACTCAGTGAGCTATATAATAATTGAATTAGAAAGCTGAGAGAGCATTTGTGAACAAAACTATAATTAATTAAATCACAAAGCTGAGAGAGTATTTGCTTCAGAAGCTGTTTTAAGCAGTCAGCTCTTTTTTTTTTTTTTTTTTTCCCCCAGGCTGGTTTTGGCACGCACGGGAGAGAGCAGTTGCTTTGCTTCAAGAACGTGGTTAAGCCACAAGATTTCCGAGGCTGGAAAAAAACAACAACTCATCATCCAGCTCCACCAAACATACTACATCTCACTACATCTCTTGTCAAAGATAAATGCAGACATTAAATATTTCAAATACATTGTTGCAGAGATCCTGAGTCCAATTCTGCCATTAAGAGCATCAGTTTCATATCAGTAGCAATAACTAAATCACTACCTCTAGCTATTCCTACAGTTCACATTATTTAAACTCTACTGTATGAGATATGCAAAAAAAAACAAAAATAGAAGTAGCTTCATGGAAAACATGAATCATTTTCAGATAAGTACATCAAGATTATCAGAAGAAAAAATAATTATTTTATATGAACATTTTTTGAAGCTTTAGCACAGCTTTTAGTTACAGTGAAGGCAATTTGAGACTTGTAACAGTGCTGGAATATTTCTTGAGGAGGATATAGAGAACCAAGGAGATAAAGGGATGATCCAATGTCCTGAAAAGGAATCCCAGTTACCCAGTGTCTCAGCAGCGTGTAACAAGAAACATTCTCACCACACATACTTGAAGGCAACTACGCAAGGGAAAGAGAAGGATTAGAAGAAAGAACCATAAAATCAAATTAAGTATAACAATGACACCAGAAGATGCCTGTGGCTGATTTAATATTTTAAAAAAAACAAGTTTTAGCGGAGTTGTTTGAATGCCTGAAAGAGATGTATCATGCATCACCCTGCAGCTTGCAACAGGAGAGATGGAGTCACCACTCCAACGTCTGCTGTGACCCTCCATGACATTAAAGTAATGGCTGTGCTAACTAGCAGGACAACTAGTGTTGGTTATCTCTGCCAATCTCTTACAAAAAGAGCTGAACATGTTCACTCGTGCTCAGAACATTTATCTGCCACAAAGAAACAGTAAGAGGAAAAAAAGGAATACAACACAGACAAAGGTAGGATTTAAGGAGGAGACCAACAAGAGGAACTGAGGACAGAAGTCAGTCGAAGCAGCAAACAGGGAAAGGAGAATATAAGAAAAGAGGAAGTCCCGTGGGGTTGAAATGGATATAAAGGAAGAGGAGGCATATAGAGCTCCACTGTACAAACGGGAAAACAAAACACTGAGGCTGCAGAAAGAAGAAGATGAGAAGAATTGCCACAAGACGTTTGTGGAGGAAGTGGGAAGACACGGGCAGCAGCAAAACACACTGAGGATGGTCCATCAGTCACAGTAGTTACTAGTTTTAAAAAACATTCTTCAATCTACTGATACTTTTTTAAACTTCTCACTCCTGATTCCAGTAGTGACAACCACCTCTGTCTTTTCACTTTCTCTGCAGAGTACGCTAGCACAGAAGCGGCTGGAAATGCTGCACAAGTTTCAAGTTTCAGAAAGGCAAAAGCAGAGCATAATTTAACAAAATCCAAATGTTTCAAGCAAGCATATTTTAAGTGTAGGATCGGACCAGTATGGTCGCATCACTTAACAGGAATTATTTCTGATACTGACTCGGGAAGACTTGCTAATACCAGACTGCTGCACTTGAGAAACTCTAAATCTGTTTCAATAATACACAGTTCTACCTAGAAGCTTCTGAGTTTGTGGACAGAATTCATACCCTTTTATCAAAATGAAGTTGAGAACTAGAGATACGAAGCTTGTACAAGCTTTATGTAAAGCAGCAGCAAGGTTAGCGTGAGACAAACACACGCCAACACCACGAGGAAAGGCAAAAGCTGCACGACTTGTTTAGTATTTGCATGCTGCGGCATGGATCGGTTTAGCAGAACTGTCCTGTGGCTAAACCTCAATATAATCATATTTTATGGAGTAAGCAAACAGCCGACATGGTGATACCAAGGGCGGCGGTCATTAAGTGATAACAGCAAGGCGATCTGATAAATAAAAGCTCTGAACAAAACCTTATTCATGCATGAGGCAAAATACAGACCTTTCTGAACGCTAAACACACACTTTGACCCACTGCCACCTATACTGTTCAGTAACCATCAGCATAATGCTTTCAAAGTAAAAAAAAACAACAGGGAAAGCAGCAACAGGCCAGAATAATAAATACAATGCACACCTTGAAAAACATGAAACGTCATCTGCAGTCTGTACTTACAATTGATAAAGAATGGTCGTTTTTCCCGCATTGTCCAGACCAACAATGATTACTTTGTGCTCTAGAAATAAAAATATCACTAGTAAGTCGCAGAGTTAACTTTCAAAACACAGTTGTTATTGTGATAGCAAACAAGTTTAGCATTGCGTTTTTGACTGATTTCCTAAGCAAACACTGCCCAAGCGTCAGGTGCCGCATTTCACAGGCCATACCTAGAAGTCTGTCTGTCTGCGGAGGCGCACAAACTCGTGCACTGCTCCGAGCAGAGCGTCCATTTTTCCCCCGTCCGCACATCTGCAGGCACAATTTCCGAGAGATTAGGGGTGGATTTCTTCCTCCTCTAAACTGCAAGAGCAATCTTGCACTGAAATCTTCTTCCCAATCTTCTGCTACTAAAGCAGCTCTGCAGAGCACGTGCTTACGTGTTAAATGTTCATTTCCAAGGGCCGTGCTTCCATTCCCACCTGCGACATCTTCAACTCTTTGCAAAAGAGCTGCTAAAACCCACAGCAGCGCTGACTCGCGC